ATTATTTTCTGTTCTACAACTACTCGCAATGAGGAAGGAAGATTTGTAGTCAGTATTCCATTCCGAGAGAATCTACAGGCTCTTGGTCAATCAAAGGAAAGAGCTTTTCGACGATTGCTTGCGATTGAGAGAAAATTAAAGGGAGATATTTCCTTGTCATTTGAATATCGAAGCTTTATGAGTGACTATGAAACATCGGGACATATGTCACAAGTTCCTATGATACAGTTCAATGAGAAGATTGCATACTATCTTCCCCATCATGCAGTGCGGAAAGAAGATAGCACAACCACTAAGGTTCGAGTCGTATTTGATGGTTCCGCGAAAACAACTTCGGGTTTGTCCATCAATGATGTACAATATGTGGGGCCTGTCGTGCAAGATGATCTATTCTCAATCTTGTTGAGATTTCGTAAGCACAAATTCGTAATATCAGCCGATATTAAACAAATGTACAGACAGGTACTAGTTCGATCAGATCAACGTAACTATCAGCAAATTCTTTGGAGAAAGGACGATTCAACAGAAGTCCAAGAATACCAGCTAAATACGATCACATATGGAATGGCATCCGCTCCGTTTCTGGCAACTAGATGCCTACAACAAATAGCCCAAGAGCATGCAAAGGATTATCCAATAGCTAGTAGAATAATTGCGCGAGATTTCTACATGGATGATCTGCTGTCAGGAGCCGAGTCTATACAAGAAGCACAAGAACTTAAACAAGTTTTGTCCGAATTACTGATTGACTATGGATTCGAGCTGAGAAAATGGGCAAGCAATAATAAACATATCGTGCAATCGAAGCCAGAAGAATCTTTTTCGATTTTTCTTCATGAAGGGAAGATTCCTAAGACCCTTGGGTTATCGTGGAACTCAGAGAAGGACATATTGAATTTCTCATTAAATACTTCTAGACCAGATCGTATCACGAAACGAACGATTCTGTCAATCATTGCATGCATCTTTGATCCTCTGGGATTAATTGTTCCTATTGTCGTCACGGCAAAATTGATATTGCAGCAATTGTGGCAACTCCAGTTGGACTGGGACGAAGCCTTACCTCAAGATATGTACACGACTTGGGATCGTTTTCATCGACAATTGGAATTGTTACATCAGATCAAGGTACCTAGAAGAGTCTATCGGAAGGCAACAGATATGATACAACTTCACGGATTTTCAGATGCATCAGAGAAAGCCTATGGTGCCAGCATTTACGTACGAGTACCAAACACCGAAGGGAGCTTTGAAGTTTCATTGCTATGTGCAAAATCGCGTGTTGCTCCTCTTAAACCCATAACATTACCTCGACTAGAACTATGTGGCGCTTTACTACTAGCAAGACTTATGCAACGCGTCTCCGCTGCACTTAACATTGACAAGAAACATCATTACTTCTGGTGTGACTCAACGATTGTATTGTGCTACATTGCTGCGGAGCCCAAAAGATGGACAACCTTCGTAGCAAATAGAACTGCAGAGATTCAAGAAATAACTAATAAAAATTGGCGTCACGTGCCTACCACTCAAAATCCAGCTGATTTGACTTCCCGAGGCATGGACACCTCTGCCTTATCTACTTCCACTCTTTGGTGGCATGGACCATCTTGGTTGAGTAAGAGCGAGTCTGCTTGGCCTGATCCAGTTAAATTGGTCACTACCAATATACCGGATACAAGATCAAAATTAGTCATCAGTCTGGCACTCACCAATATTGCTGAAGAATTTGGTCATCGATTCTCTTCATTTTCTCATATGATCCGAGTACTTGCCTATGCGATGCGGTTTATAAAGAATACAAGTAAGGATAAGTCTCAACGCAAATATGGACTCTTATCCATAAAGGAACTTCAAGAGAGTGAACTTCGATTGATAAAACTGGCACAACATCAGGACTTCGCACTGGAAATCAATCATCTACGAGAAACAAACAATCTACCCAAGAAAACTCCGATAAACAATCTTCATCCCTTTCTAGATGATAAAGATTGCCTCAGGGTGGGCGGTAGGATCCACAATGCGCCGATCCCATTCGAACAAAGGCATCCGCTGCTGATTTCACACAAAAACCTTATTGCTCAGCGAATAGTGGAGCAAGAGCATCTTCGACTGCTACATGCTGGTCCTCAACTGGTGCTAGCATCTTTACGAACAAAATATTGGATTACTTCTGGAAGGAGCTTCATCAAAGGGGTACTGCGAAAATGCGTGAAATGTTTTCGCGCAAACCCAAAGCCACAAACTTATCAGATGGGTGATCTCCCAGAATCTCGAATCACTCCTTCACGACCCTTTTATGTCACAGGTGTAGATTACGCCGGCCCATTTTTTATTCGAGAAAAAACTCGTAGCAAAACCATAATCAAATCCTATCTTTGCGTATTCGTCTGTTTTGCTACAAAGGCTGTACACTTTGAATTAGCCACTGATATGAGCACTAATGCTTTTTTAAATTGTTTACGTAGATTTATTGCCCGACGCGGAAGGTGTGGAGCTATCCACAGCGATAATGGAACAAATTTTATCGGTGCTGCAAACGAGTTGAACGAACTAGGGATCTTACTAAAGAGTAAGGTTCACAATAATAAGATACGCCAATTTTTAGATCAGGATCAGATCGAATGGTACAATATTCCGCCACACGCCCCAAATTTTGGAGGTCTGTGGGAAAGTGTCGTGAGATCTGCTAAATATCATTTAAAACGTATCTTATCCAATTTACCGTTAACTTATGAAGAATTATATACAGTACTGGTACAAATCGAAGCTATCCTCAATTACCGACCATTATCTCCTTTATCTGACGATCCTAAAGATCTCATTCCTTTGACACCAGCCCATTTTTTGATTGGGGACTCTTTAACTGCATTGCCACAAAGAAATTTTCAGGACATCAACTGCAACAGGCTAAATAAATATGAAAGACTCCAACAACTCGTTCAACATTTCTGGAAAAGATGGAACGTGGAGTACTTGCATCAACTACAGATGCGATATAAATGGAAAACGCAACCACGAACCAAAATTGAGCCTGGAATGATGGTCGTCCTAGTGGATGATCATACTGCACCTATGCATTGGCAACTTGGACGAATTGAAGCAGTTCATCCTGGCAAGGATCAAATCGTTCGGGTGGTCACTGTAAGAACCACTACTGGAAATTATCAAAGAGCGCTATCAAAGGTTTGCCTTCTACCAGTTTAGGGCTCCAACACTAGCGCCATCGACATCTAATTGATATTCAATATCATCTTCTTTATTTATATTCAGTCAATTTAGTATTAATGAGTCTATGTATTGGAAAACTAGCAATTATAATGTAATATTAGTTTAATTTAAGTTCTATTACGCCTGATCCGCGCGTTTATTTCATTATTTGTTTCATCTCACTATTTCTCCAAATTATGATTGTAAACTGACTAAAGGATGTAATTTTAGTTTCAAGCTATTTCAAATGTTAATAAGGATAAGTAGTATTTGAAAGCCCTCCAAGTTTTTCGAACTTTCAAGGTGGGCGGCCTGTCTAATATTATTTGAGATCCGTACGACTAGATGGCACTATCGACACGAATGGTGGTGGGAGTGAGTGTGTCGGTCGTAATGATACGCATAACAAGACGTATAATAAAGCAATCAGTTTAATTCAAAGGAAGGTTTCTTTTATTTGTATTGTTCAATCCGTAGTGAGCAAATTTCAGGCACCAGCTTGAAGCAGAAAGAGAAAACGCAAAGAAATACGCACGGACGCATTTCTCATAAAACAATTTCACTATCATTGTCACTGTCGTTTTCAAAAATATTAAATATTAATTGATTCATTTAGATCGTGACGAAAATAAAAATACCACTATGTTGCTGCTTCATAAACTTCAAATAAATATTTTAACTGCTTCATGTTATAAATTATTATTATAGGTTAGTTGCGCATAATGCGTTTTACGGAACGTTCGCGCCACTGCTCGCAGGAATGATGCGCATGATGCAGATTGCGGAACGCAGCCTCTATATACAGTTGTATTAATTGTAAGAATTAGGGCCTATCCAGACAAACTTGCATAGTCGCATAAATATAATGCATAAGGAAAAGAACAAAATTGTCATAGAATTTGTCATATTAAGTGTAGATTCGATATTTGTTAAATAAATAGACGGATAAACGTATAAATATTAATTATGAAATTCAACAGAAATAAACAAATTCTCATTTAAAGAATGCACTGCCATCCAGTAATAAATTATCTTTAAGGATGATTATCATATAAGCATAAAGTTGAGACTTTAAGAAGAACTGAAACATTAGTCTACGATTTTTCGGAAAGTTACGACTGTTGTGTGAAATTTGTGAATTTTTAAACTGAAAAATTTTAATCCTATAATTTTTATTCTAAGTGTATAATAATTTATTTTAAATTATTAATTAATTTAATATTTTAAATGTATTTTTATTTTAAGTTTAAAACAATTGTGATTTATTACATATAAAATAATATAACACAAAATTAAGTATGTAGTATATAATAAGTTAATAAATCTTGAAATGTGTAAGATTCTTATATTTAAAATAGTAGTGCACATTTATTGCAAAAAAATAACTGAAAAGTAACGACTCGTTACTTTTTAAGTAACTATAACTGTAACGTGTTACTTTTTAGAGTCGGTAACTTGTAACTGTAACTAGTTGTTTTTTCAGTGAAAAAGATACTTTTACAAAATAACTTTCCCAACCTTGATAATATATACACATATATAGGAGTAAGATTTGAATCGCCCTCTAGCTACCGAAAAATCTTGCTCCCTACTTCTTGTCTCACCGTGAGAGACCGGCGATACCGAGAATTCGGACGATTCCAAGCAGTCGAAATCGAGACATTGTACGGATAAGAAATCGAAATAAAGAATTGATCGAAGCACGGTATAATTTCTTGACGCCTGTCCAAAAAGGGAAATAGAGAATTGATATATCGAAGAAGCCCCATCGTAATAGGCAACCTGACAGATCGTGAATCGGAATCGACTCGCGACAATTGAATATTAGTAGAAGACGCTCTACAGTTTTCCTTAGAAGTGGGATTCGAAGCTCGCGGAGTTGATAACGAACAATTGATTTTACATCGCGGTTGTGTTTCGCGTTATTGATTGGGACGCGTTGCGCGAATTGCGATTACGGCGTGCGGATCGTTACCTGCAATTGAAGGGCGGGATCGACGCTGTGTGTTTTGCATAAATTGACCGTTATCGAGATGTCGAAAGAGCCGTCGGATA